ATGATATACACCAAGCTTTAAGGATATATATATATATATATATATATATATAGAGGTAGGGATACAAATTCTAATAGATAAGGTTAAACCAAGGATATATATATATATATATAGAGGTAGGGATACAAGTTCTAATAGATAAGGTTAAACCAAGGATATATATATAGGTAGGGATAAAAGTTCTAATAGATAAGGTTAAAACAAGAAGATATAATATATAGGCAGGGATACAAGTTATAATAGATAAGGTTAAACCAAGGATTTATAATTAGGTAGGGATAAAAGTTCTAATAGATAAGGTTAAACCAAGGATATATATATATAGAGGTAGGGATACAAGTTCTGATAGATAAGGTTAAACCAAGGATATATATAGAGGTAGGAATACATGTTCTAATAGATAAAGTTAAACCAAGGATATATATATATATAGAGGTAAGGATACAAGTTCTAATAGATAAGGTTAAACCAAGGATATATATATGGTAGGGATACAACTTCTAATAGATAAGGTTAAAACAAGAATATATAATATATAGGCAGGGATACAAGTTCTAATAGATAAGGTTAAACCAAGGATTTATATATAGGTAGGGATAAAAGTTCTAATAGATAAGGTTAAACCAAGGATATATATATATAGAGATAGGGATACAAGTTCTAATAGATAAGGTTAAACCAAGGATATATATAGAGGTAGGGATATAAGTTCTAATAGATAAGGTTAAACCAAGGATATATATATATAGAGGTAGGGATACAAGTTCTGATAGATAAAGTTAAACCAAGGATATACATAGAGGTAGGGATACAAGTTCTAATAGATAAGGTTAAACCAAGGATATATATATAGAGGTAGGGATACAAGTTCTAATAAATAAGGTTAAACCAAGGATATATATATATATAGGTAGGGATACAACTTCTAATAGATAAGGTTAAACCAAGGATATATACATAGGTAGGGATACAAGTTCTAATAGATAAGGTTAAAACAAGAATATATAATATATAGGTAGGGATACAAGTTCTAATAGATATGGCTAAACCAAGGGTATATATATAGAGGTATGGATACAAGTTCTAATATTGTTAAAAGTAAAAGTTAAATCAAGGTTTTTATTTAGCTAGGTAGGATCGAAAAAGGTCGGAATCAATAAATAAATAATCAAGTATTATATTAGATAACAACATGAAATAATTTCATGTTCGACTGAACTTTATTAAATAATTACATTTGAAATATTAAATATTAATTAGATTCCATTAAACCTAAATAATGCAATTTAATTAATGCAACTAATTTTCTTATTAAATATCATTGGTGTAAGGTATTTTTACATATATTTGTATATATCTGGAAAAACTAGGTTTAAATTTTAATAAAGTATAACATAATTTCCGTATTTATGTTTTGATAAATTATCATTGATATCATTTATATATTATTAACTAGGATAAAAGATAGAGATCATCAAAAATGTTAAAATTAACATGTAATTTTTTTTAATAAAAATTGCAATATATAAAGAATAATTTAGCTTGAATAAAAAAGATTGCAATTTGAGAAGATAAAAAAAATTACAAGAAAATTAACAGAATAAGAAGAAAATTAACAGAATAAGAAAGAAAATTAACAGAATAAGAAGGAAATTAACAGAATAAGAAGAAAATCAGCAAAATAAGGAGACATTAATAAATAAGAAGGAAATTAACAGAATAAGAAGAAAATTAACAGAATTAGAAGGAAATTAACGGTAAAAAAAGAAAATTAACAGTATAAGAAGAAAATTAACATAATAAGAAGAAAATTAACAGAAAAAGATAGAAAATTAACAGAATAACATGAAAATTAACAGAATAAGATAGAAAATTAACAGAATAAGATGAAAATTAACAGAATAAGAAGAAAATTAACAGAATAAGAAGAAAATTAACAGAATAAGAAGAAAATTAACAAAATAAGAAAAAAATTATCAGAATAAGAAGAAAATTATCAGAACAAGAAGAAAATTAACAGAATAAGAAGAAAATTATAAGAAGAAGAAAATCAGCAAAATAAGGAGACAATTAGTAAAATAAGAGGGAAATCAACAGAATAAGAAGAAAATCAACAGAATAAGAAGAAAATTAACAAAAAAAGAAGAAAATTATTAAAATAAGAAGAAAATTAACAGATTAAGAAGAAAATTAACAGAATAAGATAGGAAATTAACAGAATAAGATGAAAATTAACAGAATAAGAAGAAAATTATCAGAATAAGAAGAGGCTTAGCAGAATAAGAGGAAACTTAACAGAATAAGAAGAAAATTAGCAGAATTATAAGAATCTTTAACACATAAGAAAAAAATTAACAGAATAATATTTAAAAATCAACGGAATAAGAAGAAAATGCATGAATCAAAAAGTCAAATATGGATGGAAAAACCGCAATAGAAAATTATCATTTTAAGAGAGGAAGCCAGAATACTTCTATCATGTTTGCTAAGACAACCGTCTAAAGTTTACTCTTGTGAATCAGACTTGTAACTCTTCACATAAGAGGTCATTTAAAATTATGTGAACAGTCTCTTTAAAAAATAAATACCGCTGAAGGTCCTATCCAGAAGTTTGCTGGTTCAAGGTATCCTACACTCTCCAGTGACAGGCTAGTAACAAGCACCTAAAATTAAGACATTTTTATAGAAATATTTAAGTTGAAAAAGTTAAAATAAAATAAAGTTATTTTTAATGAAGATTGTTCTCACCATGCTAGATCGTTTATAAAGATCGACTCCAACAGGACCAAATCCATAAAGAAGAACAGAAACAAATAAGATCGTCACTTGGACAAAGCTGACCCAATATGTGAAAAATGGCCGATGATCACGTGAATTTCCGCCCAATTTTCGTTTCCGGGCCGGCTCAGGCACGTGCCGGATAAGTCGTCTTTTCCGGAGAACTTTTCCAACCAATCCCATGCCATGTTTCCGCCTGCAAATAAAATTGGTTAATTTAACATAACTTTACCCTTTATCATAATGAGATCAGAGTGCATTAAATTCAGCAAATCCAGTTTTAGTGAAGCTAGTCACAAAGTTTAAGCGAGAGAATGGAGGTGGGAGGGGAGATATATAATGTTAATGCCAATTCAGTTATATATGATTATAAGATCATTAGTTTTTATGACCTTTAGCGTTTCAACTTGAACAAAAGAGGGAGAAAAAAAGCGACATTTCAAAAACATATTGATTTCTTATTCTATTACAATCTTAAAAACTTTACAAAAGAGCAAAAAATATTAACTTAGTATTGTTTTTTTCCATTGTGCTATTTTCATAAGAATTGCTTTTTTCTTATTTGATCCTGTTATACGAAAAATTCTGAAAAGAGTTTCTGGAGAAAAAAATTTAAAACACTTTTCTTTTTACTGGAATACCTGGCGTTAAATTAAAACATATTATCTGAAGAAAACAAAATGGCGACTAACCTATTGGAATTATCAAATGCCGCGTCTAGCATTCTGTTCCATATTCTGGAAACCCCGACATCACTGCTCATCCGAGGCAAATCACTCTCTACCTTCGGCAGCTGCCAACTGCAAGTTCTAAAACAAAAGATCTATTTAACACTTTTTAATGAATTGAAGTACCTAACAGATTTTTTTGCTTTTATTTATAAAATATTTCACAAATAGTCTTTAATCAAAATTGCTTGGTAAATTCAAAACTCCATAAAAGAGCAAATTAGCAATCATCACATTTTTTTCCATTTTATAACAAGGTTTGTCTTAAATTGAATATAATATTTGTGCCGAAATAGATGTTTCGTATTTCAACCTCTTATTCCTTTAGTTTAACTATTTGATGGATTTGTGAAGTTTGTATCGGTGTCTGCCCTAGCCTCAGATAAACAAATGGATTGAAAGTTTAGATTGAGACTACAGTAGGAGTAGGGTCACCCAAGGTTATAATGCAAGGAAAGTTAATTGATGTTGCGTATTCTCTGCGTACATATTGAAACCAGTTATCTCTGGGCGGTGTTTGTAAACAAAAATAAATGCATCAGTGTTCTTCTAGTATCCGAGGAGGATAAATCCTTTAATTTTGATAATTCACATAATAGTTTCCTATGAACATAATATTTCATTGATTTTTATGTGAAAATGGATCCCATGTCAGGCTGTGACATCCGTCTTGTGTTTACTTTACCGCCCAGAGACAGCACACTGCAGTACTAAAAATGCGTAAACCTCTGAAATAACTATCTTCAAATTATTATTCTTTGGAATATTTAAATAATTCCCAGATTGTTTTCTTTTTTCTTGCATTGTTTTATTAAACATGTTCATCTCTAGAATTATATAGCTGCAGAGCAGAGCCAATACATGTCTAAATTCAGAATCTGACCAATTTTTGTTAACAATTATTCCCAGCAGAACAAAAGATGTTGAAAAGGAAAATATTTTTAAATTTTTAAAAAATCATGAAGAATCATTATTTGATTCAGACTATTATTAGGATTGATAAAGAAATTACTGTAAAATAATGTAAAGGTTTGTAAAATCATTTTATTTAATTGAACATATGATTGTTTTCTTATTTATTATCCAAATGCTTTAGGTCTACTTTAATGCTTGATAGCATGGGGTGTTAAGTGTTAGTCTAGTAACAAATATTTTATTACTTTTGAAATTTTAATGAAAATGTTAGAAAATTTTCTGACTTATAGAAAACACTAAAGAACGAATTTTTTTTGTAGTGAAAAATATCATAAATTTAATTGCAAAAAACTTGCTAGATTTTTTACTTTAAGAATTTCTCACACTTTTTCGCCTCTCTGTGAACAAAATGACATAGAACTTTTACAATATTTTCTAAATAAAAGTTTTCAAAAATTAACAATTATAGATTTTTAAGGAAAGAATATTCTATAGCCGGTCAAAAAATTGGATTAAATTCACATTTGCCGCTTTAGCTATTATTGTGAACAAAAAACTAAAGAATAAAAAAAAATTTATTAACAACAAATCCAAACTTTTTAATTATTAATTAAAAAATCAAAAAAATTAATGTTTTAAAAAGCACTCATGGTTAGACATGTTAGTTGGTAAGTGGTTAGTTGGTTAGCTCTTATTACCTGCACGAGCAATTATAAAACGGATAGTTACAAAACTCAAGCGTGGGGTCATAATATCTAAAGAAATTAAAATAAATAAACACAGAAACTTGACAAAAATGGATCAATATAGAAAATTTTGAAGAAAAAAAATTAAATAATAGAAAAACTAAATGATTTGAAGAAGTCTCTGAGCTACATATCGCCGGTTTAAATCCTACACTGCCAATTAAAAGTTAAAGTTGTGCCTCAAGTTTCAAAAAGACATTTTAGATTTCTCTAAACAAGTTTTTCAATCAGCTGAACTTGATGAAACTAAATTAAATAAATCCGTTTCCCTTGAATTATGAAGTAAAGTGTCTAGTTAAATATTATTGCATGGTTTAAATTCTGAAATTGCAATAAACCCAACAGTTTCATATATAATTATTCTAGATTAGCATACATAATATAACGAGACTTAATTAACAGAAATATAATTAAGAAATAAACATTTCATAAATGCAGGGAAAGGGAATTCATACATACAAAGTGTCTCATTAAAAAAAACTTCCAGAAAACATAAATCGGTCGATAATCTTATAAACAGATTAATTAAATATAGAAGTTTTTTAGGTTCATTTGTTTTAATCATTTATGAATAAGTTCTCTAATTTTTAAACTGCAGATTAGTTCACTAATTCTTGAACGGGTAAAAGATAGATAGATTAGATCAAGGTTATAATGCAAGAAAAGTTAATTGCAGTTGCGAATACTCTGCGTACATATTGAAACCAGTTCTCTCTGGGCGGAATTTGTAAACAAGAATAGATACATTAGTGTTCGTTTAGTATTCGAGGAGGTTAAAAGCATTAAGTTTTGATATTTCACAAAAATAGTTCCCTATGACCAGAATATTTCATCGATTTTTATGTGGAAGATGGATCCCATGTCAGGCTTTGACATTCGTCTTTTGTTTACATTACCGCCCAGAGACAGTACACTGCAATACAAAAGATGCGTACAACTCTGAAATAACTTTCCTTGCATTATAATCTTGGATAAAATCGTGCTAGATACTGAGTCAACTAGACAATACATTATAATTTCATGGTTTGACCAGCTACCTTGTCCAATATTCAACATTGTCTTCGCTTTTATTGCATTATGTTTAGTTCATGTTATGCCTTAATTTTCCTTGCCTAAAATTCAACCAGTGTCCTTCATTTTTTACTTATTTTAAATACTTCTCACGCATTCTTCTCTTGTTTTCGTGTTCTAAATTTGTCTCTTTTTTATTTGTTAATATTTCCTTACTTTTCTCTTTTCCCCTTTCGCCCTCCCTTCCCTTTCCCTCTTCGCCCTCCCTTCCCTTTCCCTGATAGGATTCAGCAATCTGCATCACATTTGCATAACACACGTTGTTAGAGAGTTTATTGGAATAAAAAGACTGCAAAAAGGGTTCTCCCTAATTTCATTGCACAGTCTGCATTCAGCAAATTTACAATTGCACAACAATGTCTGCAGAATGCAGCAATACAAGATATTACTAAAAACTAATAAAAAATACATTCTGGAAATGACTAAGCTCCTGATGCAGTCTGCTTTTTACAATGTTGGAGTCATATCTTTGCCGAAAATTGACAGAAAATGTCGATAAGCGACAATCTATTTTGTGAAAAATGTTCGTCATTTCTTTTCAAATGTTTTGGAAATGTTAAAACACGATGAAATTGTGCTTCATCCTATCGTGGCATTAGCAGAACAAGTACGGAGATTTACCGGTCTACTGTATTCGTACTTCTTACACATTTACTGTACCTGTATGGATCATCTGTAAATACAAAGTTCAACTGTAACTGTATGGATCATGTGTTAATACAAAGATCAACTGTACCTGTATGGATCATCTGTAAATACAAAGATCAACTGTACCTGTATGGATCATCTGTAAATGTAAAGATCAACTGTACCTGTATGGATCATCTGTAAATGCAAAGATCAACTGTACCTGTATGGATCATCTGTAAATACAAAGATCAACTGTACCTGTATGGATCATCTGTAAATACAAAGATCAACTGTACCTGTATGGATCATCTGTAAATGCAAAGATCAACTGTACCTGTATGGATCATGTGTGAATGGTTTCTGAATAGTGCTGGACACCGGTTCATGTAAACTAGAAGGTTTGCTGAAGAAAACCTGAAAATATTAAAAAGATGAGACCAGAAACTCTCTCAATAAGTTCAGTCTTCCAAAAATATCGATAAAGCGCGGTTCGAACATCTTTATAAATTCTAATCTAATAGAATATCATGAAACTTTAAAATTAATTAAATTAAGTATTTTAATACTTTGAAAGAATCTCATAATACTTTGAGAGAATCTCATAATACTTTGAGAGAATCTCATAATACTTTGAGAGAAGCTCTTAAATCTATTATCAATGTGAGTTTTATATCAAAATAATAAAATCCACAAATATGTGACAGGTTTAAAAAATACACTTTTTGCAATGTTCATTTTTAAATATTCCTATTTCCTGCATTGCATGTAAGTAGGTAAACGTTAAGCATGTAGTTACTGTTTTAATAACCTTTCCTTTCAGAGTATAATGATTTGCACATTTATCGTTACAGGCTTAAAAACAGAAAATTTAATGGAAATAAACAATTTATAATATACAAGAGGGACCGCCCTACCATTTGATTATACATGCTTTGCAGACAGTACTTCAATTGATTTTAAACAAGAAATATTTGTCTAATGTACAATTACCGCGTATACAATAACCTATTCTGAATATTTCTTATTCAAATGGAGTACCCGTTTCAAAATACAAGAAAGCTATATTATGCTAAATATAGGGTCGATTAAAAAGTTGGCGGGTTAGTAAAATCTATAAGTATATAGTGTTTACAAAAAAAGCGGGTCAAGTTTTTCGAGGTCTTCATGAGGATCCTCAGACATGTGGTGAATGTCCTTTTCAGAGACTGGATTTTGGATAGTCGAGGTTTGACTTCCTTAAGCTTATTACCGAGGAAAGGCCATAAATTTTCGACTAGAAACTGGTCATTGGTCAAGGCTGTTGGTTATTCCCATATCTTTGATCCAGAAGTGAAATTAATTTAACTTGTATACATTTACTTGGTACAAATATTATTTAGTAACGAGGGTAGAATACCATGAAAAAAAATTTCATTAGCCAAAAATTATTTTCCAAATCGTCCAAATTCAACCCGCCAATAATTTTGTTCCACATTATAAATACTGAAAGATATTTTTTACTTATTGGAAAAAATTCTGCCTTTTTTGGAAATGAGGAACAACTTTGCCTATTGTGCCCCTTAAAGATGCATCTGAGGGCCGAAATTATAGATTTTTTTGCATAAAAATTCCCAAGTCGGTGAACAGACTTTTTATACATGCCGAAAATTATATGATATATTAAATATCAATTAATAACAAGGAATCAGAAGTCTAGTACTTTATTAATAACCATGTTCATTAAATGTGTCTTGATAAAAAAAATTGGTGTCGTAAATTAACGTATGTTATGCAATAATGTTTTTGCACTAATGACGACGACATTTAAAATTGAAGTGCAAAATTCTCCAAAATATGTACACTATACACACTGACCTCTTCAGCTGGGCTTTCTCCTTGATAATGATGATGATTTGATATTCTTGTGAGGGGCTGACATACAGCTAACCCACCGCAGGTTTCAGCCTAGAATACAGATATTGGTGGCCATTTTATTTTCTTTCTTATCATCATTATTTGCTTTTGATTTGTTTTATTTCTAAATAAATACGACCACTTTTAAAATCTTTTGAATTACTTAATTCTATTTTTAATCTTGTTACACAGAACAGATTCAGTAAAAGCTCTTGAAGAAGAGCGTTTATGGTTAAAAATATTTCAATTTAATTTAGTTTGACTTCTACCTGGTAGTAGGCAGCTTGACCGGCAGCACTAGGAAGATAGCTACGGGAAAGGAGGTGTTCACACTTTAAAGAATGTATATCTGTTCGGGACTTCAGAGACTGAAATATTATAAATGTATTATCTGTTCGGGACTTCAGAGACTGAAATATAATAAATGTATTATCTGTTCGGGACTTCAGAGACTGATGTAATATCTGTTAGAGACTTTAGAAACTGATATATAATAAATGTATTATCTGTTAGGGACTTCAGAGACTGATATATAATAAATGTTTTATCTGTTAGGGACTTCAGAGACTGAAATATAACAAATGTAATATCTGTTGGAGGCTTTAAAAACTGATATATAATAAATGTATTATCTGTTCGGCACTTCTGAAACTGAAATATAATAAACTAGGCTATGTAAGGTTTCCAATCACAATAGTATTTCGCGCAACTATGCGTAACGATTGCTTCTTTTTGCGCAATAGGGTTGCGTGCAATATTGACATTTTTGTGCATTGATGCCCATTATCTATTGTGCGAAAAGTTGCCACTGCGAATAAGAATTTTTCGCTTTTGCGCATTGGTACAGTTAAATATCATTGTGAAGAACTTGGCCCCATCCGAATAAAAGTATGTCTAAGAATCAGGTATCATGGCTCGTTTTCAGAGATATAACAATCGCAAAATCAAAAAATCCCACCCCAATGTAAACAGTTTTAGCTCTAAACTCGTGAAAGTGAAAGTCGGCCATTTAAAATCATTTTCAAATTTTGGGGAAAAAATCCAACTATTTCCAGGATATTTTTCCAGGATATTTTTCCAGGATATTTTTCCAGGATATTTTTCCAAGATATTTTTCCAGGATATTTTTTCCCAGTTTTGATGTTCCATAAACCTTCCCTTGGGTCATGTGAGGCGCCACACAAAATTTAGGATAGATCGGTTCTGCCGTTAGAAAAATAGGTTATCTACCACATTAATAGGTTGGATGGATAACGTTGAATTTATCGGGATAAGTATCATGGAATCTGATGGTCCCTTTAAGAAAGCTGAAGTATAGTTTCATAGAGAATAGAATATATAGAGAGGAATTTACTAGAAAAAAGTGTAAAACGGCCATTTTGTTGTACTGTTTTCATACTGCAGGTGTACTTCACATATATATGCTATATAACCTGTTGGGCCCTGGAATATCATTATATAGAAAATCTAAAATTATTGTTAAAAGAAATTATGAAATAGGTTGGTTTCATAATTGACCAATGATAAAGTAAATTCCTCTCTATATATTCTATTCTCTATGTATAGTTTAAAGGGAATGTAAAGCTAATTTCAAGTGACCCTCCATGTAAAGATGTCAATGCCCTATTAACAAAGGTACCCTTGAAAGCTTTATCTGATCAATAATTGAAAATATGTTGTAGTTTTCCTTATGGTGTAAAAGTATTTAATTCAGATAATTCCGATATTTCTTCCCATGCAGTAGAAATACGTGATATTCACTTTTAAAGAGAATCCAAATTTGGAAATAGATAATTTTTCCAAATGATCAGACACAACTTTTAAAGATAGGGCAGTGCCATCTCTGCATGGAGGGTCACTTAAAGTTACGCATACAGTCCCTTTAAGGCAAACGATATAATTTCAAGTGAACAAGTTTTTTGTAAGATATTTGATCTGAGGAAAACACTATATAATTGATTGAGGAAAATGAACCGAGGCCAACAAATACAAAATAGTTTTTTCTTGAGTTAGTGTTTTGTCAATTTATACTGAACGGGTTTCTACTACGGTGTGTACTGCACTGTTCTGCAGTACTCAAATTAAACTCAATAAAATCATACATTGTCCAAATAAACATTATTTAGTTTAAATTCAGAAAGTATACTCTAACTTTGCAGGATGTATAAGAATCTCTGCTTGTGTAAATAAGCTGAAAATTGTGCCACCCACACAATGAATAGGCAGACAGTTTTTGATGCATTTTTTTATGAAAGAAAATCCTCCTAACTCGATTCATGCATGTGATCAAAAGACTGGGTTTCTGAATATTTTAACAAAACTTCATAAAATCATCAGCAAATTTTCTATTTTAAGAAACTATTGCATGTTTCTTTAAAATCTAAAAATATCTTTTTACTTCTTTTATGGGAAAAGAACTTTTTTCGACTTCATACTAAACTATATGAAAGTAAAACTTCCCTTTAAAAATTAACCAGAAGGATGAATGAACTTTTTTCTTAACTTAGTTTTTGATGTAAAACTGATATAGCAAAACCACTCTTTTATGGTTTGAGTCAAGGTTAAAAGATAATACATACTACAGTGATAACCAGAAAACTATGGAATAGGAAGACGACATTATAGCAATATCTAATTAGATTTAATGGTGTTACAAAGCAAATAGTTTTACTAGACACTTAAAATATCACTTATCTTGTAAAATGGGTCTTTTTGCACTGCATAATTGCTTCATCTCATGGTCATTGGACTTTTTTAAAGCTAAAACTTGATTCTCAAAGTCGTCTTACTATTCCAGAGTTTTCTGTTTATCACTGTATTATGACAATTACACTTTTGGAATTTTAAAATTATTACATCATATCAGATAAATTTCTCTTCTAAGAAAAAGTTTAACTGCACCAATATTTTTGAATTGCATAACGAGTATAAAAAATTTATAACGATTGAGCACCTATCAAATTATAATACCACTTAACATTTTTCTCAGAGCCAGAATGTCAGAGAGTTCTGAAAAACATCTTTGAGCGCGCGGAAAGACTTATAGTTGTGCTCATAAATAAAAAAATGTATTACGTGTATTTGGAAATATGTAAGCAATGCCTTTATTTCTGAAACTTCAGACTCTCTAGTTGTGATTATCAGGAAATTCCAAGTTTATAAATCGATATCATGCCATAGAAGCATGACACATAAAATTTTAACCTCTAATACATTTGAATGTTATTGTTTTGTAATTTTGTAATTTCTCCCTCAATTTTGAAGGTTAAAACTGGGCCAGACCACATTAGGGAGATCCCAAAACGAAGAATTTTTTGTTGATATTTTCGAATCGATTCGATATCTTCGAATTTAATTTTTAACTAATTTGCTATTTTATCGATGTTTCTTGTGGGTTTTAAAAAATTGAAAATATTTTATCTATTCATTTATTGATCATCCATATAACCTTCCCAGGGGTCATGTGGTTGCCTCAAAAGTGTATGGTTGATCGGTTCAGTCGTTTCGAGGTTTATTGGACACAAACAAACAGACAGACAGTCAAGCATGAAGTATATATATAGATTAAATGTCTACACCATCCGGTTACAAAGATTTGAGTTTGTTGCAAGACTCAATTCTTTTAAAAAATGTATGCTCACCGTTACCATCCAAGCACACCATTGCCAGGAGAGAGAAAGCATAGAATCCTTGTCTCTGGGTGGTTTAGAGATTTTTAGAACCATCTTGTCCCCTTCCAGCTCCGAGGTTAGAGCTGTGGGTTGAGTGTGTCCGTATACATCAGTATACCCGGAGTAATTAGAATTCTCTACTCCGAACCCTGATAGATACTCCTCCTCCTAGACATTACAGAATAACTAAACGGACTGTGAGCATTATTTCATGTAAAAATTGCCATGCCCGATTTACAACGGTACCCTTGAAATCGCATTCTGATCAAAAATGTAGCAGATAACGCCATTTTTCTTTGTCGAAAATGTTTGACTATTGCAATATCTTCGTTGTTGTTTCTTATAAGCAAAAAATGCGCAGTCGTTTAGCCAGAAAAATGAAAAAACGCATGGATATCCAATTTATAATTAATCAGACAAAGCTTTTAACAAACATGAAACAAACCATTATAAATGCCAATTATTAAAACATGTAAATTATATACTCTATGCTAATTTTAAAATACATAAATATTTAGGGTTGATATTAACAAAGGAACTTTAACAATGTGACATTTTCTAACTTTTCAATATTTATTTTTAGAAAATCTATTGACATTTTCTTTTTGTTTCATTTACAATAAAGAGAAGTGTATTTAAAGACTGAAGTCAATATTCATGCATTATTCAATATTGAACCAATTTTACAAATTGTTTAGATTTATTAAATCATTTGAAAAAAAAATATTTCAAGTTCCAGTTCTAATTAAAGAAAAATATCTAACGAGAAGAAATGCATGAAATGAAAATGCTTGAAAAAGAATTAATTACCTTAACACCACCAAGTTTCTTAATTGCCAGTCTTTTTCTTCTCTCATTCCACAGGAGTTTCGAGTTCTCCTCGAAACTCGCGTCCACACCGAAAAACCGAAGGATTTTTCGAGTAAAATAGCTAGAAAAAAAGAAAAATTATTTAACTTATTATCCGTGGTTTTTAAGAAAAAGGTGGCATTCAATTAACTTTGATTACAACGAAATTATCGGCCAACAAGAAAAAAAAAGCATTTGTGTATTTTTCTTTTTGAAAATTAATTAGAATATAGCGAGTACGATATCCCATGTCAATGGAAAACCCCTGTCAAAATGAAGCACCTGTCAATATAAATTAGTATATATTTTCAGGTTAAAAATACCAGCAAAACAGTAAAAATTACATAAGCAAATTAGTAGTTACTACTTTTCTTGTTCATCAGTATAAACATTAACAATTAGATTCTTAGCTCAGGGGTTTATAATTCCAATTCTAATCCCAAATGGGATCGGGGTTGGAAGTACATTTTGGGACATGAAAATACAAGTTCTGTAACTTTGGCAAGTTTTTTGTGTACAAGTACTACACTTAAGAAATGTGCACTGCATCTTGGGTGTTAAAAGACGTAAATATCAGTAATCAATATAAATATATTATGATATACAGAAACATTAAGACTCCCTTGCAGTAAACATTCTGCAGTGTGGAATTTTTTCTACAACTTGACATCATACTTTCAATTGTTTACAATAACAATATAGTTAATTTCTGCCACTAATATATCAATCAATCGTATTAGATGGAAATATATGCTTAATTGTTGTTTTATACTCAAGGTCATAAAGCAAGGAAAGCTTTTTGCTGTTGCGTATTCTCTGCGTACATATTGAAACCAGTTCTCTCTGGGCGGTGTTTGTAAACAAGAATAGATGCATCAGTGTTCCTCTAGTATCCGAGGAAGATAAAAGCATTTCATTTTGAAAATTTTGATAATTCAAATAATAGTTTTCTATGACCAGCTTATTTCATTAATTCTTTATGTGAAAGATGGATCCCAAGTCAGGCTCTGTGACATTCCTCTTGCGGTTACTTTACAGTACACTGCAGTACTAAAACTGCGTACACCTCAGAAATAACCAAGGATTTAATGCAAGGAAAATTATTTCAGAGGTGTACGCTTCTTTTGTACTGCAGTGTACTGTCACTGGGCGGTAATGTAAACACAAGACGGATGTCGAAGCCTGACATGGGATCCATCTTTCACAAAAATAATCAATGAAATATTCTGGTCACAGGAAACTATTATGTGAACTATTAAAATTATCAAAATTCAATGCTTTTAACTTCCTCGGATACTAAACGAACACTGATGCATCTATTCTTGTTTACAAATTCCGCCCAGAGAGATCTGGTTTTAATATGTACGCAGAGTATACGCAACTGCAATTAACTTTCCTTGCATTACATTCTTGGAAATAACTATCATTACATTATATATCTTTGTTTTATACTTACGTTTTAACTTGAAGGGGTTTAGAGGGGACATTTTGGCAGAGGGGGGATAGGGAGGTACACGGCTCACTATACTGCGAACTGTTTAGAGCTCTATAAATATGTACAGTTAAATTCATGTACATACATCACTTCATAGTTATGCATGTATGGTCATATGGCTAGAAATATATAAAATGTAAATTGTAATATAACGTGTTGTACGATTTGTAATTTGTATTTTTGTTTAATATCTCAGTATGTTTCTGTAATCTCATGGGTTTCTGATAGGACTAAAATGATCATTGGTCAATTATGAAACCAATCTATTTCATAATTTCTTTAAACAATAATTTTAGATTTTCTATATAATGATATTCCAGGGCCCAACAGGTTATATAGCATAAATATGTGAAGTGCACCTGCAGTATGGAAACGGTACAACAAAATGGCCGTTTTACACTTTTTTCCAGTAAATTCCTCTCTATATATTCTATTCTCTATGGACGTTATCTATGCATTTTTGCAGCAGAGACAAAAAAAGAATTAACCATTTTCCAGTTGGATAAACTACGCTATAACTTCTTAATAGTTGCTCAGGGTAAAGGTTAAGTACAGGGTGCGAAACATAACAGTTGGAGAATAAAAATATGTTTAACTCATATATAGTTTACTATGATATAACTGTCATATGAAAAATGGTATTAGTCTCAATAATAATCAATATAATATCAAACAACTTATCAAATTATGGAAGAAGACATTTTAAACTATTCACCAACTGTCATGTTTCGTGGGACACCCTGTATATAATTGTGATGAATCGGGCATTCTACGCTAACAATTATGGATCTGTTGAAATATCTTTAACAGTCCCTTGAAACAATTACTTATGTGGTAAATCTGTTGAAATTAAATACCTGGCGGCCATTTGACTTGTAAGGCTTGGCTGCCTCCCTCTGGGAAGACCTGGGGTCCCTAGACAAGGTGTTCCTAAACCAGGGTTCCCTATGGAAGTCCCTAAGGTGGAGGCGCCTAACGAGGTTCCTAATCCAGGAGGCCCTAAGGGTTTCGGGGATGAGGTACAAACTACACAAAATAGTATTTTTTAAACTATTCAAATCAACCGAACTTTATTAAAGTCATGTAATAAATCTAGACGTTATTAAATCTTCAAACATGGCGGAATAAGATGGCGCTGCCAGGTTAAGTTACAATTAATTTGTTTTAGTTTCAGGTAACCTTATCTCTCCATCATTGCATTAACCTTGGCTAAACTTAATTTAATCTTTAACTGTCTGAAAACATTGCATGCCAGGGGGGATTTTTGGCTTTATGTAAACAAAATGTAAAATATACTGTATTTGCAAAGTTTTGGTTAAATTCATTTTATGCAAAGTTAATTATTGATCGACAATGGTAAAGCAAATACTATATATGCACAAAAAGCAACATAAATATGTTAAAAATATAAAGTTCGAATAAGAGTAGTCAATTTTAAGCTTTTTTTAAAAACTAAAATTCTTTTCTAACAATATGTACAATTATTGTGCATATATCAATACAATTAAGACGACTTTCGATTTCAATTTTCTATTTCTATCAAGCTCTTAAACAGCAGGGATACTGGATACACATAAAATATGAAAACGAAGAGAAGCTGTCAATTAACAACTTCTCTGTGTTTACTTGTAAACTTATAATTGGAAAAAAATCAAGAGTTAAATATAAAAGTTATCTTCATTGAATTGATATAAACGCCGACCACTAAAGCAAGATATTTCTAATGAGAGTTTGGTCTATTAAAACTATAAAACAATTAGAGCTGAAAACTTTAGAATTGTAGATATCGAGATTAAACATTTATCTCCTCTTTTTATTAATTTGCAGAATTATTAATTTTTCCCTTAAATCCAGGGAAAGTGTTTAAAATGCAAACAATCATGAGCATCGATTACAGAAACCTAACAGATAAACAGGAGTTGCACCCAGCAGGAATATCCAAAAGAGGAGATTAAGCATAAAATCAAAAGTGTCCACAGTGGAAACAGAGATATTTAGCAATCGGGATTAAAAACATTAGATACAAGAGTGTTCTGCTCAGGAGGTACAAGAATCTGTTCTCAGACAATCGGAAATAGCAGAAATAAAAGTCATATATTGCTAGGTCGCTACATAATAAAAGTTTCCGCGCGCTGCGGATATCAAGACATTTTGAATGAGCGCTATAAACGTCTTAAAACCTTCAAGTTTAACCATTATAAGTTTAATTTGATTTGTTTAGATTTAAGAAATGTATTCCTGAGGAGGATCCAGGGTTCTGAGGATGTTGGAGTTGAGAATGTTGGTTCTGAACCAAGGTGTTGTGCTGGTTCTGAACCAAGGCGTTGTGCTGGTTCTGAACCAAGGAGTTGTGCTGGTTCTGAACCAAGGAGTTGTGCTGGTTCGTCCCAAGAGGAACCAGGGAGTTGTGTTGACCCTGCATCGAACCTGATGACATGCTACCACATCTTGGGCTTGAAGGAGCTTTCCTGAAAATAAGAACACTAAAGAGACGGTTCATCAAATTAAACTCAGTCTTTACCACAAACTGTGATTTTTTAATTTCTATATGTTGTAAACTTGTAAACCTTAGACATTTTAAACTCTGAATTATGTTAAATTAAATAATCTAAGTTTGAAATTTGGAAGGTTTACACCATCAGGTGTCTGAGGTTCTTAGTTTGAGGCAAAAGATTCAATTCCAAGTAAGAACATCCTTAATACGAAAAACTCGTCCCATTCATGTTATAATAATAAAAAAGACTTATACAAGTAAATACAAATTTATTTATTTATATTTATATTTGTATTTATATTTGTGTATGAATATATTTGATAAATGTCTGAAGGAAGAAATAATGAATAATGCAGACAGCTAGCCTCGCAGACTATACTTAAATAGAAATTGATGAGGAGAATTCAGTTTAGCGTGGTGTAGTGCTTAGTTTGCCGTGTGGGGGGGGGTCAGTTAAAAAAGTGATCTTCAATTCAAAGATATTTGTGTTTTTATGTTTTGTGGAATTTATTTGAAAATGACTTGCGGATTTCTGAAAAAGAAAGAAAGTTTCAGAAGAAAGTGATACTATACTGTTTAATTAGGGGACATTTTAAACTATCTTACAGTCCCTTTGACCCTATCCATTGCCTTGCCTCTTATGATAAGTAATGAAAGGCCTAACACTAAATATTTATATATTCCACCAACTATTTATTACTATTGTGTAGCTGTAAATAAAGAAATGAATAATTATATTGGTCTAGATATGAATATGTATACGTGGAGCTCCAGCTTAAACAAAAACTATGACTAAAAAGTACATAGAACCTAGGACAAAGTCCTAACAACGGACAGGATCCGATCGAACACCACATCCCATTCAACACTACTATGGTGGGTAGCTCCTGGCTCTTCATGGCTCGCAACTGGCTCATCAGCCCTTTCACCCCATAAACTCAAAAACCTCCATTACTTTCCTAAAATGGTCATCCTAGGTTTGGTGCGCTCAAAACTTCAATTGGTTTTATATAAAAAAAAAAAAAGAGCCAGCCCCAGTCTATTATCCCCTATGATAGCCTTGGTTTAAATGATGTTTCTTCCAAAAATTGTGAGTTTGCCGAGGTTTAGTCTAGCCGCAGCGGAGCCACTTGATTTACTTTAACAAACCTTATTCAGAAACTCCATATGAAAAAGTGACATATTCGATTCACAACGGTATCCTTGAAAGTTATCTATGATTTCACCGTAAAAAATTGTTTATTTTTTTGTTGTTGTTTCTCTCAAGGGTCACTCAAAACCTCAATGATAGTCCGTGTTCGAAGAGTGTAGTTTCATGATTAGTTTCATTCTTAATGTACGTTTATAGAGTTGTACTTACCAGTCTTTTAATCTATCCTGTATATCCTCGTCCTTGGAGCAGGACGGATCCAGATATCCGTCCTTGAGTCCTGCTCCTGAGTCCCTCTTCTCCTTATTCTCCAGGTCCCCCTGAACCCTCTCCAGAAGATCACATTTAGAGTTTTTCCTAGACAGGGTTTCAAACTTCTGTTTTGGGGGTTCAGGTTTCTCTTTTCCATCCGGGGGCTCACGCTTTAACATTGTTGATATATTGGGTAAACCAGCGAAACCGCCGATTCGTTCACTTTCTTCGTCCAGACCCAGAGAGTCCAGGGACTTATCCGTGGACCTGGATATAGACTTGGAATGATGATGCCGGCCAACCGGAAGCAAAAATTCGTCGGCCAGGCTATGCACGCTGCGGGCGTCGTCAGTGAAGTTGGTGATAGCATGTCGTCCATAATTATCTCCGACACCCCGACAGTTTTTATCCGACCATTTTCGACCGCGTAGAGTAGCGTAGGATTGCTGAAGCTGGTCTGAGGGGCGTAAACTTCCTTCATCTCTGTAATATAAATTCTAATCAATTATCTTTAAAATCAAAAAAATAATTCTCACAAAATAATCTTTGCTTTGTTTTCATATTACGTTTTGAACACAAGTAAAAAAATATGTTCGAATTTACTCTAACAAACAAAGATAAAGTTTTATCTAAATTATATTTGCATGCCCCTTGTTACATTACTTTCTGCCACGAACCGAAGTAATTTTGTTAAAAGTCTGCAGTCTATATTGCAACCTTTTATAGCAAAACTATCCCACTGCACTCTTTTGGGATTTATTCATAAGATTATGATGTTAAATGTTTTGTTCTTGAATAATGTTTGTGTAATTAAATACCATCTTACAGACACCAAACATTATATGACATGGGGTAGACTAAAATGGTAAAGAGAAGGAGAAAGAAGATAAGAGAGATATTTAAGGAAATGGAATAAAAAAGGGGAAAGAAAAAAGTCTAGAAAAGATTTTGAAAAATGTTAAACAGATGCAATTCACAGTAGATTAAAGATTACGTTTTATGATGTGAAGGATAAGAAAATAAAAGAAGGTCAAATATTGTAAAATAGAGAGACGGTGGAAAGAAGGTGAAGTATGGAAGATTGAGAGATGGTGCAAGTTAGAAGATAGAGATTTAGTGAAGGATGGAAGATAAAGAGAAGATGAAGGATGGAAGATAGAGAGAAGGTGAAGGATGGAAGATAGAGAGAAGATTTAAATCTTTTTGTGGATAGTTATTTTTTTTTTTGATAAAATGATAATTGAGAACTATCTGAAATATATTTTGAATAAAAACTATATAATCTTTGGAGAAAGAGGGGGGGCGGGACCAGAGAGAAAGAGTTAAAGAAAGAAAGTTATTTCTGAAACAAGAAAAGAAAATGAAAAGAAGTAAATTGAACCAGGTTCAAAAAGAATACTTCAACCAAAGTTAAATATTCAGGAGATCAACGAATACAAGAATTTCTAATATAAGATTTTATGTATTGTTCAATGAATAAAAAATAAATAATAACACAAAAACACCTATTTTAAACAGTATTGAATTAAAGGAGGTGACCGACAATGTATATAAAACTGAGAATGTAGTATTTTGGAGAAATTTTTTTGAAATCATGACCTATGAGACGTTTTTACGGTGCATATTTTTTCAGAAAGAGCGCATTCTCTAAAACCCTGAGAGATGATTTTGAGAATCGATTTTTAAAAAATTATTCAATAACGACGACAAAAAATGTAGTTAAATTTCAACAGTAGACTAATTAATTGTTTAGGAACAGATTGAGAAAATAACAATTAAATCATCGAAAATAAGTATCTTATTTAATAATTAGTTTTTATAATTTCTCATAATTCACAAAGATTTTCTGGAATTTTTATTGAAAAGACGACTTTTAAAGAATTTGAAGAACAAATTCATAGAGAATAAGTAATTCAATATAATGATAAAAAAGAAATAATTGATTCTAACATTGATTTATCATGAGAAATAAATTCCTAACATTCTAATTTGATTATTGTAAAATATTTTACATTTTATGTCGTCACTATGCCGTATTCATTTTTAGAATATCGATTCTCAAAACATAACCACCCAAATGGATGATTTTGAACGTCGACTTTGCGCCCAAACTCAGTAATTATACATCATTTAAACGTTTCATATGTTTTAAATGAATCCTAAAAACTTTCTCCACAATACTACATTCTCATTTTAACTATCATACATTGCCGGTCACTCCCTTTAAGTTTACTCTTGCTTTATTAAAAATTTCGTTTTTTTAGAAAGTAAAGAATCATTGCAAATTTAATTAGTGCATAAAATTGTGTAAAAAAGTGTGTTTAAAAGTGGGTGTGTGTTTAAAAGTGTGAATAAAAGTGTGAATAAAAGTGTACATAAAAGTGCGTGTAAAAGTGTGTATTTATAAGATAGTGTGTATATAAAAGTGTGTATAAGAGTGTGTATACAAGTATTTTTAAAACGGCGTATATGAAAGTGTATATAAAAGTGCATATTAAAGTAATTATAAAATAGTGTATATAAAAGTGTATATAAAAGTATTTATAAAATAGTGTACATAAAAGTGTATACAAAAGTATTTATAAAATAGTGTACATAAAAGTGTATACAAAAGTATTTATAAAATAGTGTATATAAAAGTATATATAAAAGTATTTATAAAATAGTGTATATAAAAGTGTATATAAAAGTATTTATAAAATAGTGTATATAAAAGTGTATATAAAAGTATTTATAAAATAGTGTATATAAAAGTGTATATAAAAGTATTTATAAAATAGTGTATATAAAAGTGTATATAAAAGTATTTATAAAATAGTGTGTATATAAAAGTGTATATAAAAGTGTATATAAGTGTATATAAAAGTGTGTCTAGGGACCTAGTTTGGAAATATTTAGGTCTAGGCAGTTAAGACAATGAAACTTGGCTTAATGGATTTAGAGAATTAGAACTCAGTTCTTTGTTAGAGGATCTTTAAGTCATATAGGGTGGTCCAGAATACATTCAATACTACTGGGTGTTCCAGAATACATTCCATACTACAGGGTGTTCCTTAAAAAAATTCAATACTCCAGGTGTTCAAGAATACACTCAATACTACAGGGTGTTCCATAATACAGTCAATACTACTGGGTGCTCCAGAATACAATCAATACTACTTGGTGTTCCAGAATAAAATCAATACTACAAGGTGTTCCAGAATACATTCAATACTAGAGGTGTTTTAGAATATATTCAGTGCTATACAGTGTTTTATTTAAATCCAAGGAATTATAACAGTTATTATCCTGGTTCACCTTGACTAGCGTGCACTGAGTTATTTTGACCAGTTCAGAGTAATAAATTCCTAAACTTTTACCGGAAATACTTGAATCACTTAAACTTAGAAACCGGAAATAGAAAGGATACTCTGTGGGAATTAAACTGTCCCAGTATATAATACTTTCAGATTACATTGAAGAAAAAGAACCAGGGGGGTACAGAAAAGAATTGAGTATTATGCCACAAACGCAAAATTTTCTACTCTTATATCTTTTTAACCTCCTACGCTTCTGAATAGAAACCATTGAAACCCCATTCTAATAAAGCAGTATTTTTAAATCTTTTTGTGGATAGTTATTTTTTTTTTTGATAAAATGATAATTGAGAACTATCTGAAATATATTTTGAATAAAAACTATATAATCTTTAATATATATATATATAAATATCTAAGTATATTTCTGTAGAATGGTTGACCTGGTTTTCTTTAGAACTATTCTAATATAAGCTTTAATATATCCCTAGGACTTCACCAAGGGAGTTTAAAGGGACCATTAAGTCAAAGCAAAACGGGGTATAGGTTAAAGCTTTAACATATTAGGAGTTGATCGCGACCAATATTAGTTCTATCTGATGTCCCTGTCTCGAGAAAATGATATGTTACTAGAACTGTGTCTAAGTTATATAAAAACTCATATCTGTGTGCTATGGTATTTGAATTAAAGTTTAAACAGATAATATTCACCAAATACGGAACCAATCTGAAAATGGCGATTACCCAGAGTTGCCTAGAAAATGTTGGTATGCTCTCAATTATAATTTGAATATATTACTTATTTATTTTTAAATAGATATTATTGGTTTTTAAACTTGCTTCGTCTGTATCACGTGACCAGAATTTCCACCAATGGCAGAACAGGCAATATCTGATTACGTGGCTCCGTCGACCATAGCACGTATATATGAGTTTTGTATAATTTGGACAGAGTTTTATATCAACTGCTCGAGACAGGGACATCATATACAATTAATACTGGTTGCGATCAACACCTTAAAGTTTTAGGCTTTATCCTATGCCTCCTTTTATTTTTCCTTAACAGTCCCTTTCATAATAACAGTTTTCCAGGGCGCTGTCGGTAAAGACATACTGGAGTTGTTAATTGTGCAGCCTGAAGGGATTAAAGACGAAAATTTAAATGATTATAATTTCAAGTGGCATGCAGGATTCAAGATGGTACCCTTTGTCTTATTCATGATGAATGACACTTGTAAAGGCACTATATGTTCACTTAGATCTGACTTTTCCTTGACAAAGACTTTAAGCAACAATGACAAGGTTTTTATTTTAGGCAGGGATAGATTGTGAGACTAATGTTTCTAAATCTTATTTAATTGTTTAAACAATAAAACCCCAAAGGGTTAATATTCATAAATCCAATGCATTTAATTACATCTAGGAATATCATGTAAACTTAACATTTAACCTTTATTTAACATCATGCTTTTCATTTTTTGTGCAGAATAAAGTGTTTTACAGAAAGGTTTAATGTTTTCTAAAAGTATTTGTATTTTAAAGAAAACTGCACAAAAACGATGGTTGAATTAGTTTCTATACTTTTTTTCCAAGAATACACCCTGATACAAGAATTCTGGTCTGGAATACGCCCTGATAATACAAGAACTCTAGTCTAGAATACACCCTGATACAAGAACTTTAGTCTAGAATACACCCTAATACAAAAATTCTGGTCTGGAATACGCCCTGATAATACAAGAACTCTAGTCTAGAGTACATCCTGATACAAGAACTCTAGTCTAGAATACACCCTGATACAAGAACTCTGGTCTAGAATACACCCTGATATAAGAACTCTGGTCTAGAATACACCCTGATCCAAGAACATCTTGACTAGAATACACCCTGATACAAGATCTCTGGTCTAGAATACTCCCTGATTTAAGAACTCTGGTCTAGAATACACCCTGATACAAGAACTCTGGTCTAGAATACACCCTGATACAGAACTCTGGTCTAATTTTGTGCCTGGCTGAAAAGAGGCTGTTTAAAATTTTCCTCAAAAATTTTGGGTTAAATAAATGCTGACGGTTTCTCATTAGCGGGTTATAAAGTTCTAATTAAAATCTGAACATAGAATAGTAAGTTTCTCTTTTCTATTCATTAAATTTGTATGAACTTCATTTCCTTTAATCTAAAAGATTTGGCGGCAAAACAACAATATTGAGAAAATGTTATTGTAAAACCCCTGTAAAATAAGAAAATGTTTAAGTAAAACCCCTGTAAAATAAGAAAATCTTAAAGTAAAACTCCTGTAAAATAAGAAAATCTTAAAGTAAAATCCCTGTAAAATAAGAAAATCTGAATGTAAACCCCGTGTAAAATAAGAAAATCTGAATGTAAAATCCCTGTAAAATAAGAAAGTCTGAATGTAAAACCCCTGTAAAATAAGAAAATCTTAAAGTAAAACCCCTGTAAAATAAGAAAACCTGAACGTAAAACCCCTGTAAAATAAGAAAATCTGAACGAAAAATCCATGTAAAATAAGAAAATCTGAATTTAAAACCCCTGTAAAATAAGAAAATCTGAATGTAAAACCCCTGTAAAATAAGAAAATCTTAAAGTAAAACCCCTGTAAAATAAGAAAATCTGAATGTAAAACCCCTGTAAAATAAATTTCAAGTCTGATGATTTTACCTGACTGTACAGCAATATTCTGAGTTCTGGTTTTGGTGACGAGACTTAGAGGTCCTCCTAAGAAATACAGAGCAAGTCAAAAAGAATAGATAATAGCAAGATCTTGCATAGAATAAAGCATGTTTTTGGTAATCTCATTTTTGATAATTATGAATGACATTGTTGATTTTTTGTTTTTGTTACGCAATAATTTTTCAAACTAATAAGCTCATCAGCATTTCGAATAGTGTTTAGTGTTTAGTGTTTAGTGTTTAGTGTTTAGTGTTTAGTTTGTAGTGTATAGTGGTGTTTAGTGTTTAGTGTTTAACTATTACCCCCACCCCGTGCTTGCTCTCTCCCCACCCTCTTTCTCCCATCCTCCCCCCTCCTCCCAAAAAACTATTTTGTATCAAGCTAAACAGTATTCTCATCTTTTATCCAACATAAACCATGAATTAATTGTTAACCATCATGTTCAGGGTTACCCACAAAAGATGAATCTAGAATAATGACAACCTTAAATTCATTTATTTTAACAATCTTAAAGTTGAATTTTATTTTGTCTTAGAAACAGTCTAATTGTAAGTGATTTGGCAAAATTAAAATATTGTTAACAACTTTATGAAGCCAAAAAAATGAACGTTTTGAAAAAAAAAACCTTGCAGTCGTCTTTGAACTAGAGATGGGTATCATTTTTGAACAAACGCAATTTTTCAGAACGAATAAATTTTTCGTGAAAAATGGTGTCTTTCAGAAAAACATGATGAATGAACGTAATGGATTGTTCAGAGAAATGAAAAAATGAAAGTATTTTAATAAACAAACAAAATTTCCATAAGATTTTAAAAAAAATAAAGTTTTTTATGAACGAAAGATTTTTTGGTACACACTTTTAAAAAACTATAGTTTTTAACTGAACTAACGATTTTCTCTAACAAATTTTTGAAAAAACGATCGCTTATTAGTCTGAACGAACGATTTTTTTAAAGAAAAATGAAATAAATTGATGGAAATTTATTAAAAACTTATAGAATGAACGAAATAAATAATGATTGAAAAAAATAACGAAATGGGTCGTTCAGTTATGCTGGACTAACGATATGAAAAAAAAGTCGAATGTGATCATCTCTACTTTGTACAATCATCTTTTTCGGGTCACTTTGTATTTATGCTCCTCTGACATTTACTAAAAGGTTTTTAATAAAAAAAAAATACAAATAGAAATACTGATTTTATGTTTTGCTTTCTGGAAAGAAGTCCTGATTAAAAAAATCAATGCCAAAGAAATAAAAACTGTTGAAGTTAGGTTTAAATCTAGAATTCCGTTAAAGAATAAGGAATATTGTTCCAAGGTCGAGACTAAGGAAATAAGAATAAGGAATATTGTTCCAAGGTCGAGACTAAAGAAATAAGAATAAGGAATATTGTTCCAAGGTCGAGACTAAAGAAATAAGAATAAGGAATATTGTTCCAAGGTCGAGACTAAAGAAATAAGAATAAGGAATATTGTTTCAAGGTCGAGACTAAAGAATAAGGAATATTGTTCCAAGGTCGAGACTAAAGAAAATCTTAATCAATTGAAATGTTTGAACCAAAAGAACTAAATTACTTGAAATGAATTAAACTAATCTATTCATCCCATTGGCTGGTTTTTAGACATCTTTATTAAACTGGGCTTTTAGGGCACTTAGCACCCATTTTTATTTTAACTAAGTAATTACAAGTTAAAATCATTATAAATCAATGCAACCTACAATTGATACAATGTTTGTAAATGAAAAGATTTAAAGTATATATTCATTTTGTCCATTCTCACCATGAAACACAAGACATAAGTATTTTAAGAAAAGTATTTTGACAAAAACCCCCCACCAGACCCCTTGAAATACTTCACCGTGGAGGGGTCTAGCCGCATTTAAACATCAAATATATGAAATTAAACTTTTAAATGAAAGTTGAACTTTTAAATGCCTTTTAGTTTCATTGCAGAAAAGTTTCAACCGAGTCATTCTTAGGAATCCCAATTTTTCTATTAAAAAGCATGAAAACTCTTTTTGTTTGTTTTAAACTGGGTCAGGCTTTATTAGAAAACTAAACTTTTTTCCAATTTTTTTGGTAAACTTGAGTGAAAGTAAATATGTATTTTAATAAAAGGTTGACAATAAAGTAGGTTTGAGGATTTATGTCCGATTCGGTGACAAGCAGTAATCAACATCAAAATTAAACCTTTATTTATGCTTTTCCCAACTTTTTCTTGCACCCCATGTGTCCCACGGTAGAACTAAATTTATCACGTCCATCTTTTATTTTAACTTCTAATGGTTGTTCTATCTGTGACCATTTTCATTATAAAACAAACAAAAAAAAAGTTCGCATATTTAATAATATTTTTTGTGAATTTTCAGAAAATTTTCAAATCAAAATTTTAAAAATTCTAACTGTCCAAAACTTTTTTTTGCAGTCATTCGAGGTCCGACAAAAAAGTTGGCTACGATCGGTTTAGCCGTTTTGACGTTTATTGGATAAAAACAAATAAACAAACAGAGCACATGTGTTCGTATACCGGGGTGTGTGTATGTGTGTCCGCATACCTGAGTGTGTGTATGGCAGAGGAAGACCTATAAGAAGTATCCATGTTTTCTACTTCTTGTTGGGGTAAACTGGTTCTGTATTAAACCAATAACAATAACAAGAATCATAACCTAACCTACAACAATAACAACAATAGCAATAGCCTAAGGAAAAAATCCAAGGGTCCATATAACTTCATCCAATACGATCCCAAATGTTGATTGATTGATATCAGGGGCAGAAATTAACCACCGTTGTTATTGTGAACAGTTGGAGCTGGCAGTATGATGTCAAGTTGTAGAACAAATTCCATACTGCAGAATGTAGAGTGTTTATATTTCTATATATTATTCTCATATTGATTACTGATATGTACATCTTTTAACACCCTAAATGTAGTACATATTTCTAAAGTGTAGTACACACGTTCACAAAAACTTGTCAAAGTTCAAAATGACACAGAAAGTGTAATTTCATGCCCCTAAATGTACTTTCAACCCATATCCCATTTAAGGGATCAAAAGCAAGGTTATAATGCAAGGAAAGTTAATTGCAGTTGCGTATACTCCGCGTACATATTGAAACCAGTTCTCTCTGGGCGGAATTTGTAAACAAGAATAGATGAATCAGTGTTCGTTTAGTATCCGATGAGGTTAAAAGCATTAAATTTTGATAATTTCGATAATTCACATAATAGTTTTTATGGCCAGAATATTTCACTGATTTTTTATGTGAAGGATGGATCCCATGTCAGGCTTCGACATCCGTCTTGTGTTTACATTACCGCCCAGAGACAGTACACTGCAGTACAAAAGATGCGCACACCTCTGAAATAACTTTCCTTGCATTAGTACCTTGTCAGAAATGGAATTATATGGAACCTTGAAAAAATCGAGTAAGAACACCAATTTCTGTTTTGGATTGATAAATAAAAAGGAGGAGGGTGAAAGGATAAACAAAAGAAAAAGTGCGGAAAGGTGCAAAAAGAAAGACGATTCAGAACAGAAACAATTTAAAGAAGAAAGGAGAAATCTCCGAAGAAAGGAAGAAAGAGTGAAAGGAGAACGAAAGATGATAAATAAAGCTAGAATCATAGGAAGAAAGAAATAAATATATAGTTGAATTGAAGCATATATATTGATTTAAAATACACGAATGAAGGAAACAATGAAAATTTTAAACTATCAAAGGCCTTTCACAAATCCAAATTGGTCTGGCTTAGGGTTTCCAGCGGAAAGGGTAAATCGTTTCGCGAAAATTTCTCATTTTTCGCGCAAAAAAATTTCGTCGATAATTTCGCATTTTGTTAGCTCGCAACGCTTTTTTCGCGAAACTTTGCCTAAATCTGTTTCCCGAAAAAATGCGAAATACGAACAAAAATGTTCGCATTTTTTCGAAAAAGTTTTCGTTCGCATGGAAACCCTAATCTGTTTGTAAACATTTTATTCTGAATTTAAACCATGCAATCGTTTTTTTGTCAAATCATTTAATCAGTTAAATGTTAAAAGTGAACATTAAAAGTTAATGTGAATTCAATTTATTTGATGCAAATTACAAAAATTGCTAAGACCCCCCCCCCCCTCCTTTTCAAAATGCTACTAAAGTTCCGACTCGGTACATAAAACTTTTCTGTAAATATAATTTTATATAATTAAAGGAATTGATTGATGTGCTAATATACTAAACTTGGAAAATATTTCCAAATCTATTTAATCCAGACCAGAGTATAGTATTCGATAATTTCGTCAAGATATTCTAAAGAAAAGATCAAACAATACATGTGTTCAGAATACAAACAATACATGTGTTCAGAATATAAACAATACATGTGTTCAGAATACAACAATACATGTGTTCAGAATACAAACAATACATGTGTTCAGAATACAAACAATACATGTGTTCAGAATACAAACAATACATGTGTTCAGAATACAAACAATACATGTGTTCAGAATACAAACAATACAAGTGTTCAGAATACAATCAATACATGTGTTCAGAATACAAACAATACATGTCTTCAGAATACAAACACAAAATGACAAAAATTACAAATAAAGAAAGAGATTTTAAGATAAAATGAAAAAATCGAAATAAGTTTTGAAGAAATACGAAATAAAGTGGAAAGTGGAAAGAAGGGGAAAGGAAGGAATACGGTATGAAAGGCAAGAAAGGGCATCAGAAGAGAGAGGGAAGGAAAGGGAAGGAAAATACAGAAAGAGAAGAGGTATTCAGGTAAAGGAGGGAAGGATATCTAAAAATGGAAGGAGAGACACAAAACATGTCAGGGGTGTTTGAGGAGAAAGAGATGGCAACTGAAAATAGAATGGAGGAGAGCTGAGGGAAAGGGGAGTGTAAATGAAGAGGGAAAGGAAGGAGAACTGAGGGAGAGGGGAAGGGAAAGAGTGAAGGTTGGGGAAAAGGGGAGGAGGCTAAGTGTAAGGAAATGGGATATAAGTGTAAAATGAAAATATGACATTAATAATTACAGCTGACAACACAAGGTCTAGTTTTTGTCTTTAAGTATTAATGAAGGACACTTTCATTATTGATTGATTTAATTTCCTGATAAATTTCCCGTCGCAGGTCCGGACAAACCCGGAATATTGTCCTGGATGATAGTAGAGATCGTACACAGGATGATCGGAATCCAGGATATCGTTTCTACTCTCACTCCTTCATAGTTCAACAGTATTTAATTAATAACTTGACAGTTAACATAAATATAGAGCTGAGAGAGAGAGAGACTAAATATCGCTTTTTACGTCTCTGATGACATGTGTCATAGTTTCATAAATAATGTTGGACGAATTTAACACTTTTAAGAATTTGTTAATCTTTTTGATGCACATTTTTTATTCGAAAGGTATCGACGATCTAGGACGATCTTTTAGTCGTCTCTGAAGTTTCATGCTTAATGGGACACCCTGTATGTAATAATATAATATGGTGGACATAAACGGGACACCCTGTATGTAATAATATAAATATGGTGGAAATAAACGGGACACCCTGTATGTAATAATATAATATGGTGGACATAAATGCACATTAACGAGAAAAAGACAGGGGTTGAATTACATTTCATAATGTCGTTTTAAAATCACATAGGTTTAATTTTAAACAACCCCTGGCCTGTACCTTCTACAGTTCTACTTGTGTTTTTTTATTTTTCAAATTCAATGGGACCACTTCCGTCTTCTTCAGATGAGAATTACTGACTATTTCTGGAAGGAACGACAGTCGAATTCTATGTGGTATAATATTTTTCCATTATTTCAATATAATGTAATGCATATATATATATATATATATATATAATTTCCAAGATTTTGAATAGATGAATATATTTCATATTTTATCCATTTCAACCTTCAACTTTATATCCGCTTATTCTTTGTATATAAAAATATATACTGCTCTACTCAACATTCAACATAAATAAGATTCACGCCTTTTTTATTTTTATTTACATCTTCAATTCAATATAAGAAATATTTTTGCGAAATTTTAAGAACGATTTTTTCTTATTTGCAACCGGATTTAAAAGATTTTACAGGATTATAAGTTCTTAAAAAAAGTTAACTGATCTAATTTAAAAGAAAAAGTGTAGATTCAAGTTGCATGTAATAAACATATTTATGTATAAATAAGAGAATTCAGAATGTAAGCTTTGTGCAGAAAACATTTCAATTCTGCAGAGAGAAAAATTCGCCAAAAAGCTCAGAAATGCGGTAAAATGAACAATTAGCAACAATACAGGAAAAACTCACTGCAGGGGACAGAGAATATAATGCAAAACGAGCATTATTGCACACTGAAACTGAATTAGTAAAGGATGCTGAAAAAGTAGTTTTGAACAGTGATAAAAGAATTCAGAGGCCGAATTTAAAGTATTTGAGCCGCGACTTAATTTGAGAAGCAGTTCAAATATGGTTGGTTTCCACTTAAAAGTGCATTCAATGTTTCAAAATTCAAGCCGGCGCTTAATTGAAACCGGTTTTTGGCGGATTTGAGACGCGACTCAAATTCATTAAATTCGGACTCTAGCAGTATTTTGCCAACTACCCCTTTTCAACCTAAACAAAAAACAAGAGCATTGCATTTTCAAAATGTTTATACCTAGAGGGCTACAAAGACGTATAAGTAAGGGGGGAGGTAAAACCAAAGAACAAGGCGATGTGAAGTTTAGGTTATCTCAACATTTGAGGCCTAATTTTCATAGTTGGCAATGTATATATCGACCCAGTGACTTTACTACAAAAATAAAACCAATATAAGTTCTGTAGAAACATAGAAAAATTGAAAAAGAAAAATACAGCAAAAGTTGTCAGTGCCATAAACAGATAAAGTTTCAGGAACCGCTGTTTTAAAAGTTTTCACGAAAAGGAAATGAGAATTTCTTGAATTTGAATGAAGGCCGGATATTCTATTTATATATTTGTATATTTGTATATGTGATATAAAACTATTTATGTAGATGCATACATATGAGATATTACTTTTTAGAATTAAAACTAAACTCTATATACTTCCATATACAAGTAATCTCTGTTTGTTCGTTAGGGTGTTGGTATGTCTGATCATAACAAATGGATCCCTTGATCTATTTACCTCAAATTTGGTTTAAAAATTCCATGTTGAGTGGGATGATTATAGAAAAAAAACGTTTGTTTTCAGTTATGTTTTGCCATTGTTTACTTTTTTCTTATTAAAGTATTTGTGCAATAAACATTTTTTTTCGTTATTTTGACTGAAAGCCAGGCCTGTAAATTGTACATTAAAAACTACCAAACCAAAACTCTGATTTGTTAAGCCAAATTACAAAAAAGTTTGAATTTTTCACAACGCTCGCTATTTTTTTAAAATAAAGAAATTTTTGGTTTTCCAAAACAAACCAAAAAACTAAATCTTTATACATGCCAAATCCCCATTTAAGTGCCCTATTTTCTCATTATCTTTAAATATATGAAAACTAGTCAAGTAAAAAAGTTTGCTTTGTAAATGTTGCTTTTTAATCCTTCATCTTCGTATGTCATAAAGTATAAAATCGTGGATTTTCTGCAATAAATTAAATGAATTTCCAAAAATTATAAAAAAAAATAAAAACAAAGAAACGAACATATAAATATATTTTCGTCTTTTAGCCAAGAAATTCTCTTTTATCTCCTGAGATTATTAAATTACTTTGTCGGAGTAAGATTTTATCTTTCTCTGTTATAAAACCTTGAGTTTTATCCAAGTAATATGTGCATCCATCCCAGTCGGTTAATATGCTTATCACGTGATTAAGAATATAATGCCTCGGAACAGTTAATTTATAAAACCTATGATGCCCATAGCACCACTGAAATGCACCTTAAAGCTTTGTTTTCAAACTACTTTTAACTTTTCAGGAATTCGAGGCTAGATCATTAATTAAGCGATAGGTTTTATATAAGAATTCAATTGATTTAACTTTGTTTTATGTTTATAACTATTGAAAATTCTTTGATCCTTCACTGTTAAAATTCTTAAAATATACTGTACGCAAAATGCTGAAATTTTAACAGTGCCCCCGATGGAAAAAATATCAAACCAAACATAAATACTGTTGAATTTGCCTGTGGGATATTCGATCATATCCGTCCTGCAGTCCCAATCTTGAATTGTCCTGCAGTCCCAATCTTGAATTGTCCTGCAGTCCCAATCTTGAATTGTCCTGTAGTCCCAATCTTGAGTTGTCCTGTAGTCCCAATCTTGAGTTATCCTGTATTCCCATTCTTGAGTTGTCCTGTATTCCTTGAAGTCTGGAATTGTCCTGAAGTCCACTAAGACGAGATGAGTCCTGAATCCCCTGAAGCCGGGACTGTGCGCGGACCATCATATAGTTCTGGTCCAGTCTCCCTGTGCGCAGTGACTCTTCGACGCGCGCGCGCTGTTCCTCTAAGCGTGATCTGGACTCTTCCCGACGACTTCCTTCTTCTACAAGACGAAGCCGAGCCTCCTCTCGTCCTGCTCGTCCTCCGTCCTCCACTAGGCCTCGTACACTCGTCCTTAGGGTTCCTAAACACACATTTCTCATTGATAACCAGGACGAAACTATTTAAAGGGACTGTCATTGATATTTTACCGGACTCTCCACTTAAAGTACTCTGCATGTTTGAATCACAACGGTACCCTGTAAACCTTCACCTGATCAAAAATGTGATAGATATCATTGTTTTTCTTGTTTCAAAGTTGTTTTATTCTCACAATTTTTCAATTGTTTCTGCAGCAAGATATCCACAAATCACTTTTATTAAGAAATCACAATTATAAATAACGAATTTTTAAAAGAAATCATGGATATCTCATTTATTCGTATTCAGCATAAGTTTTTAAGGATATCGTTGTGAAAACTGTAAATGGAGAGTTTTCATTCTTTCAAATTCTTTTTTCATTAAAGAAAATTTGCTAAACCAATTCTTATCTTTCTTTCTGAATTCAATCTCAATATAAAGAAATAAAGCAATGTTATCAGGGAATCAACAGCTAACAAGGAAACCATCCAATGACTAAACTTTACCAAGATATAACCAAAAAGAACAAAAGGAAAGGTTTAATTTTGATTTTATGAAACAAACAACGATTCCTTTTTGTTTTATATTTAATGGTATTGCCCAACCCAGATAAAATTAGGACTGACTCAAGTAATGGTCAAAATATAGATTTAATAATTTTTAGAACAAGACTATTTTCATTTAAGTACCTGTATGATATGGTGAAGATTTATGCTCTAGATACGCATACTCAGACATTGCGTCAGGTCTATGGTACGCAACCACCTCTCTGGGTCTCCGATAAACCGGTTCCACGGAGTAGTGGAAATCCCTGGACTGCACTAAGTCTCCTAAATGGAAAAATCTCTTAAATGGATGATTTGTTAATATTTGAATAGGTTTATTCCATTATTCCATTGCAGTGCATATAAACAGAGGAATATAGATATGTGTATGTACTTTATGTACAGATTGACGACTTTATGTACTGAGTGACGACTTTTTGTACTGATTGACGATTTCATGTACTGATTGACGACTTTATGTACCGATTTCCACTTTATGCACTGATTGACGACTTTATGTTCCAATTGACAATTTTATGTTCTAATTGGTGACTTTATGTACTGATTGACGATTTTATAGGTATCCATTGACGACTTTATGTAATGATTTACAATTTTATGCACTAATTGACGATTTAAGTTCAGAGATGAAACCCTTTTTCTCTCCGGGACAATAATGGCAATTTTAGAATTATGGCAATTGATACTTTGTATCCAACTGCACTCTTAGTTAACAATAGTAATTGTTTAAAAATATGGTATTTTTTACAATAAACATTTCTGAATGTAGGAAATATATTTGTTATTTATTATATTTATTCCAAATTACACTGCGCAATATATTCTCAGGATTTATTTAGCTTTATACAAGGCTTGTGCAAAAAGTACAAAAATCTCAGATTGTTTGCCAAAAATATAGTTTTTGTTCTTGCAGTGTGGTAAAAATATATCTGTACATATTTGCATTAAATATTGTATTTATTTTTGCAAGCTCCTGCATCTAGTAAAAGGATGAATGCAATTGCAAAATTTGAATTTGATCAGACGGGCGGACCTCTAGAGAAGACAAACACAGAGAAAGCTTGGTAAACAGTTGAATCCAATACAGAAAATACTATGTTTACTTTTAAGCCTCACATGGAGGGGGGGGGGGTCGGGTGGAATTAAATTTAAAAATTTAAATCAATAGAAAAAACAAGAAGTTAGAAAAAATACGAAGTTTAGGCAACAAAATTAAGCATATTAGAGAGAAAAAAATAAGTAATAAATATATAAAGAAAATAATTAAAAAAAGAACCAAAAATAAGCTTTTTTTGACAATTTTTTATTTTTATATTTTCTTCAAAAAAAATCCTAAATTGTTGATATTTTGCTGGTGTTGAGGATTCTAGAAAGAAAAGAACAACAATATCGAACTCATAGCAGACAAAGAAACAAAAACAAAACAAAAGAAATAATTTCAAAATTCCAACGGAAGAAAACATCAGAAATAAATAAATAAAAAGGAAACCCCCCCCACACCGGCCCCTCCCCGCCCCCCCGGAATACTTTTAAATCCTGTGCACGCCCCTGACAAGTTAAAGTTGGTTCATTTCTTACAATTTGTTCTGTTGCATGTTCTAGAATAGTAATTGTTTAGCGCAATATATTTTCACACTGTTCTGTAAAGGATCTGCATACAGGGGGGACCAGCAAACATTAGACTTTATTTAGGGTACAGGGGGGACCAGCAAACAATAGACTTTATTTAAGGTACAGGGGGGACCAGCAAACATTAGACTGTATTAAAGGTACAAGGGGGACCAGCAAACATTAGGCTGTATTTAAGGTATAAGGGGGACCAGCAAACATTAGACTGTATTTAAGGTACAGGGGGTGTCAGCTAACATTAGACTGTATTTAAGGTACAGGGGGTGACAGCTAACATGAGACTGAATTTAAGGTACAGGGGGTGCCAGCTAACATGAGACTGTATTTAAGGTACAGGGGGTGCCAGCTAACATTAGACTGTATTTAAGGTACAGGGGGTGCCAGCTAACATGAGACTGTATTTAAGGTACAGGGGGTGCCAGCTAACATGAGACTGTATTTAAGGTACAGGGGGTGCCAGCTAACATATACTGTATTTAAGGTACAGGGGGTGCCAGCTAACATTAGTCTGTATTTTAGGTACAGGGGGAGTCAGCTAACATTAGGCTGTATTTGAGGTATAAGGGGGACCAGCGAACATTAGACTGTATTTAAGGTACAGGGGGTGTCAGCTAACATTAGACTGTATTAAAGGTACAGGGGGTGTCAGCTAACATATACTGTATTTAAGGTACAGGGGGTGCCAGCTAACATTAGTCTGTATTTTAGGTACAGGGGGAGTCAGCTAACATTAGACTGTATTTTAGGTGCAGGGGGTGCCAGCAAACATTAGACTGCATTTAAGGTACAGGGGGTGTCAGCTAACATTAGACTGTATTTAAGGTACAGGGGGTGCCAGCTAACATTAGACTGTATTTAAGGTACAGGGGGTGCCAGCTAACATTAGTCTGTATTTTAGGTACAGGGGGAGTCAGCTAACATTAGACTGTATTTAAGGTGCAGGGGGGACCAGCAAACATTAGACTGTATTTAAGGTACAGGGGGTGCCAGCAAACATTAGACTGTATTTAAGGTACAGGGGGTGCCAGCTAACATTAGACTGTATTTAAGGTACAGGGGGTGCCAGCTAACATGAGAGTGTATTTAAGGTACCAGAAAACCTGAAAACAAGAATACGAAATTATATTTGAGATACAGAGAGAACCAGAAAATAATGAATGGTATTTGAGACCAAAACATCGAAATATGATTTTTTTTAAAGCTATTTTCAGTGTTTTTTTTTTTCTTCAGTTAAGTTGATCTGCTATATATCTTTGTAAGGTTAAAACACATTTAATTTATCTGAATCAACTCTATAATGTTCTTGACAATTTCCTCAACGAAGCACGACATTTTTAAATCAAATTGTTTATGACGTAATATTTTTTATTCTTTTGACATTTACAGGACACAGGGAGTACATTTACTCTTGCTTTTTTATTAATGAACTTTGATTTCCTTCCAAATTCGGAAAATCATGAAATTATGCAAATTTTATTGTTTAAAAAAGTCCAAGGTTTATTCAACAGAAATATATTCAAAACATCTCATAAAAACTAAATCTTAAAGGGACAGTAAAGGAAAATTGAAAGGGGGTATAGGCTGAAAGCTAATCACTTTAGCTCTCGACCTCGACCCATGAAAGTTTTATCTGATGTTCCTGTCTCGAGAAACTGATATAAAACTGTGTTAAAATTATACGAAAATTCATACATGTAAAATTTTGAAAATCTGAAACTTAAATCACGTGACCAGAACTATCACCAATGGCAGAGCAGTATACTGGTCACGTGTCTCCGCCTGTATCACGTGACCACTTTACTGCACTGCTATTGGTGGAATTTCTGGTCAAGTAATACGGACGTAAAAATAATATTATGAATGAAATCTATTGAAAATAGAAACAACAAATATAAAAGTAAACCTAAATTACAATTAGCTTTGTCTGGGATATCATCGTTTTCAGATTGGTTGCTTATTTGCTGAATACGATCTGTTTAAACCTACTACTTTTATACAAAATTGTATATATATTAATTTTCGTATAGATTTGACACAGTTTTATATCAATTTCTCGAGACAGGAACATCAGATATGACTTTCATGGGTCGAGATCGAGAGCTAAAGTGATTAGCTTTCAACCTATACCCCCTTTCATTTTTCCTTTACTGTCCCTTTAAAGTCATGTTTTCTTTTATGATTACTATAACTAAATGAATGATTTGACTGATAATTGAAAGATTGTTTTTCAAATTTTTTAAAAATCATTTTAAGACAAACTTGAAAAATCTTTATAAAGAATAATTTAGCTTTTAGTTAATTAACATTCAGTTTGAAGTCAACATTGATGAGGTCACAATCCTTTCCAAACATATATTAAATTACACATTTTGATTTGTGCTAAACACTTCTGCTACAAATTACAATAGTAATTTTAACATATATCTTCAATTTGATATAGTTAACTTGAGTCAACTTGTAATATAACTTGTAATTCAGATAACCAGAGTCAAAACTAAAGAACGAAAAGTTAATTGACTTAAATTTTAAGTTCATGGTTAAATGCCACTTCTGACTTAATTTAAACCTGAACTTTAACCGTGAGGTTAAATATTTAACCCTGTGGTTAAATATTTAACTCGCCGAAATCGACGAGTTAAAATTTAAACACAGGGTTAAAGTCTTGAAATCCCGCAATCTCTATTTGTCTATCATCATTCAGCGCTAAGCGGCATTCAACTAATTACGATATATTTAAAGGTAGTAACCTTGATTTAATAAAATTTCACGTTTTAGATTAATTTATGTTTGCACGTAAACCCAAAATACGGTTGTAACTGGAAATATGTTTTGTTTTCCGTCACGTAAATAATTTAAAATTTAAAAAACAGCTGATTACCGAATACCGATACTTACGTAATAATTTTTTAAATCCTTTTCTCTGATTGGTTCAGATTTTCCCGGGAAATTCAAATTTAAAATTGAGAAAGTTTAATTTTTAAATAGCTATTCATTATTTTACAGAACTTTTAACCTCGAACTTAAAATTCGCGCATTCTTTAGTTTTAGACTCTGGTCGATTTACTGTACCCATAATGACCGAGGTTTAACTGTACCCATAATGACAGAGGTTTAACTGTACGCATAATGACAGAGGTTTAACTGTACGCATAATGACAGAGGTTTAACTGTACCCATAATGACAGAGGTTCAACTGTACCCATAATGACAGAGGTTTAACTGCACCAATAATGACCGAGGTTTAACTGTACCCATAATAACCGAAGTTTAACTGTACCCATAATGACCGAGGTTTAACTGTACCCATAATGACCGAGGTTTAACTGTACCCATAATGACCGA